GAACTCAGGTCTTCCAGACTCCAGGCCTAGCAGGATATTCATTGCACCACCTAATTCACTTTATTTATTTACTTTTGGCAGGGAGGCAATTGGGGTGAAGTGACTTGCCCAGGGTCTCACAGCTAGTAAGTATCTGAAGCCAGATTTGAACTCAGGACCTCCTGATTCCAGGGCCAGTACTGTAGCCACTACACCACCTAGCTGCCCCCACCTAATTCACTTTAAAAGGTAACACCAGCCTGATGATTGTGACTTAACCTGAAAAGAACCATTTATTCATATTAACATGAAAGACCATATTGAAGGGAAACTATTGTCCATTCTACATAGTTTTCTCCCTTCCTTTAAGTGACAAGTCCTGGAGTTGGAGTCAGGAAGATCTGGATTCAAATTCCACCTTTGACACTGACTAGCTTGTGTGACTCTGGGGCAAGTAACTTAATGTCTGTGAGCCTCAGTTTGGCCATCATGAAATGGATGTGGTGCGAGGAACAAGTTAGAAAATGTGTCTAAAGTGCTGCATAAACTTAAGTTTAAAGCAGTTGTAAGTCTTGGCCTTTATGCTTTGATTCGCCACTTCTGTGAGAATGGAGTTTAGGACATAGAATGGGAGTTGTTAAGTACCCAAAAAAGAATGATTCCCAACTTTGAAAGGCTTAGGGTCTCTGGTCAATCCCATGACCAACTATGACTTCAGAGGAGTCACGCTGAAACAAGCTACTTGCCTTATGATGGAGAGGTGATGGACTCAGAGTGAAGATTTTGGGGAGGATGCAGCCAATGCAGGAATTTGTTTGGTTTCACTACACATGTTTGTAACGGCAGTATTGGATTTTCTTGCTTTCTCGGTGAAGGTGGGGGAGGGGAAGAGAAGGTTTCATTTAATAAATTTTTCATTTAAAGAGCTATGTACAAATTTGGAAAAAAGAAAAATGTTTAAAAGATGATTGATTCTTAGGTTAGAAGAGATAGCATATTATAATGAATCAAGCATTGGAGTAGGAAGGAGGAAATCTGATTTCTAGTCTTGACTTTATCACTAATTAGCTATGTGATTTTAGCCAAGTTATTTAATACCTCTGGGCCTCAGTTTCCTCATTTATAAAATGGGGGAATTGAACCTGATCATCTCAGAGGTTCCTTCCAGCTCAAACATTCTATGATTCTATGATATTCAACAGGCCTGCATGCTTTTTATTTTTTTCTTTCCTCTTTTTCACTTCCTGATAGAATAGAATACCTATTGTCACTTAATGTACATGTTATCTGATCGACTAGTAGATATATTGGTTGAGGATGGTGGTTGTCATCTTCATAGGGTGACCCTTTACAAAATGGCCTTAGGGAAAATTAATCCAGTTTGGAAATTGATCTGAAGGGGGACCAGAAGGAAGGTGATCATTTGAAAAGTGGCATTTGTGACTCTGACAATCCCAGGCAAAAATACTTATCTTGCTCAATAGAAGTAATTTCCCATAGTTCCTCCCTTTACCATTCCAGGCTTATTTGGTCCTGCTTGCACATTTCCTTCCTTTTTATTCTAGAGATTGCATCCCTAAATCCATATTTCTGTTTGATTGCTGACATAGGCATATCAAAAAGTCAAGGAAATTTGGCACTGAGACTGAAGTATCATGCAGTATTTCGAAGCAGAAAAGGTAGATAGGCTATACACGTTTTCAGACATAAGGTTTCTTTTTGTTATGTTGTTTTCATAAAGTGTATAGAATTGACTTTTGGGAAACACTGCCATTCTCCCGTCCTACATTTCACGAATCTCACATCTTTTATTTATGATGGTGGGACTCATTTATCTGATAGAGTCGAAGCTAGATGTTGCATCTTCAACTTTCTAATAAAACTATTTCTCTCTTCATGATGTGGATAGAAGGAGTCTCTCTAGCCAAGAGGTCTGTGCCTAAAATATGGTCATTGGGGTCCATAGGCTCAAGTTTTTGAAGTATGGGCAGGGGGTGGAGAGATGGGAGGGCTGGGCTTTCACTTTTCCTAGCTCAGTCTCCAGCACAGCCCTGTATCTCATTCATAGGGTCAGAGAGAGGGAGAAAAGGGGAGGTATTTGGGAGGATTAGGGAAGGAGGAGAGAAGGTAATTTATGTGGATGGGGAAAAGAGAAAAAGTTGAAAAGGATTTGAAATACAATGTGTCCATCATTGAATCATAGGTGGTCAAAGCTGAAAAGGGTACTTGGGGATCATCTAATCCAACTCCATCTTCATTTTACAGCTGAGAAAACTGAGCCCCAGGCCAATTGGCTTACCCAAGATGAATGAGTGACAAATCTAACACTAGAACCCTGATCTCCCAGTTCCTGATTCATTCTGTGACACTGTTTCACCGCACTATATAAAAGAAACAGTGACTGGAAGCTTTGAGCCAAGCAGACCCTGAGCCAGTGTGAAAGAAGATTCTGAATTTAGTGGGAGAGACTGTAACTAATTTTATATTAGACAGGCAGACAAAGGCTCCATCATGCCTTTAGCTAGCAAATTGGCCAAAAAAAAAAAGAAAAAAAGAAAAAAAACATCATGGCAGTGGCTATCAAGGACTCCCTATGTATGTGCTAAGCTGTGATTTTATAAAGAATCTCATTGCAATTAATTTTACTTCGTGGACGACATAAGGAACCTGTGATTACGTTTCCACCACCATACCAGGTTCCCTCCCCGCTTTGTACACTCTCTAAAGGAAGTCATTGGCATTCTTTGTGTCGGGAACGTTTGCTGACCTGTAATGCCTTGTTCCCAGAATGAAAACATAAAGCCACAGTTTGATGGCTTTCCAATATTTCTTGGGGGCCCCCCTATGAGCATTAATTGCTTCACTGCTGTGTGAGAAAGCAATTTGTACATTAACAGCACAGCAATAAACAGCCATCATGTATTGGGAGATGAGGCGAGGAGAAAAGAGAGAAAATTTCTTCTTCGAACAAGTGACATTAGCTACATTTAAGCTCATTTTGATAAAATGCCAGACATTCTTCCAGTTCACAAGTGGCAGAATTTCTGATTTGGTTCAGAAGTAGGTGTGGTCTGTCCTCCTTGCCAGTTTCTACCACCACATCCCTTGTATTGATGACAACATAAAGCAAAATTCTTTAGCCAAGACACTATGGCATCCAGTTCTCTTACTGTCTTCTCTGTTACCTTTTTTGTTGGGCTGCCCTGGCACAATCAACAGAAAACTGGCATAGCATCTCCTATCTGAATGCACAAAACTGCTGGAAAAATTCAGATCCCTGCTAAGGACAACCAAGTTCTCTTTTTCATCATCCTTATTTTATAATCCAAGTAAGACTGTGCTAGAGAAAAATAAAAATCCCAGGCACCACCATGTAATCTATTACATCCTCAGGGATTCTCATTTTCACATGGACTCTCTGTTCCTAAGACTGTTCTTTTTTAAAGTTCAGAAATAGATCATTAAGATTTTATAAGGTACATATACATTCATTACAGCTACATGAAACATAACAACAACAAGATCTGATAATGACCCAGATGAAAAGGACTGGAAGGAGAAGAGACATAATTAGTAATTTTTGCACCTAGGGTAAATAGTACAAAATGTACCCAGGATAAATGGCCCAAAAATATTTCTTCAGATATTGCTTTAAGATAAATTCAGTGGGAGCAGGGGTAGATAACCTACAATAGCCAGTAGGCAGAGACGCTGAGATATCATAAAGCTAGGGGCAGGAAGAAACAGAGCAGGTCCAGGTGGGAAGGAGCTTACCTGGTGTGTGCCTTGCCAGGAGGAAGAAGGCACCATCTGGTAGCTTCCCATTTTAACTAATTATCTCATTAACCAGTATCTAAACTCAGTTGTTTCTGTACTGCTGAAGGAGTACAAGTACTGTCAGTGCCCTCTAAAAGGCAGGACCCATGAGCAAAGTTCTAGTTGCTCCACCTTAGTTATAGTTCTCAGAAGGAAACTCAGAACCAAGTAAGAGATTATTATTATTATGTATAATAAAAGTGTAGACCCACAGGCATAATCCTCTAAGCAGACTACAATTTGGAATTTACAATTTTGTTGTGCTCCTTTTTATTCCTTATTTTGTTTATTTGATTTTTAATGACTTGATGGTTATTAAGTCTGTAATAAAAGACTATTTGTAAAGAAAAAGATTGTGTAAGGTGGCACGATTCATTTTCTCTCCCTCTGCCATGCAGCATGTTGTCATGGCTCTTGGAGATGGTCAGTTAGCTCCAGTGAGCAGCCTGCAGAACAGGAGGCTGACACACCAAGCCTTCCTGAGGTAGAGGAAGACACAACTTCAATGACGTGACTCAAGTTATGCATACATAGCTCATACATGAACACTCAGGAGATATTTGGTGAATTTGTGAGTGTCTGAACAACATAAACAGAGCCATGCTAATTTGGCAGAATGTCCACCAAAAGATAGCCTCTATGTCCAAGTTATAGAGTATGGCTCCCTCTGCAAAATGGGAATACCAGACCTAGAAGTAGAACTTTCAGGTCTGGAGGAACAGGAAAGACAGACATGTGATGGGGATTATCATATCTGTTGAAGGGTCTACTCTTCAGCTCACTCCTGCTATAAAGTAGATCTCATAAGGTTTTTCATCCCTCCTCCGTCAACCTGAATCCTGCTAGCTTAGTCATTAAACAGGAAACTGTGAGGCCTCCTGGGTAAGTGATAGAATGATGAATTGATGGGAAGCTAGGTGGCGCAGTGGATAGAGCACCAGCCTGGAAGTCAGGAGGACCTGAGTTCAAATGTGGCCTCAGTCCAAACACTTGACACTTACTAGCTGTGTGACCCTGGGCAAGCCACTTAATTCCAAATGCCTAAAAAAAAGAATGAAGGATGGAACGGGGCCTGGGATTACCCCCTTGAGCAATTTTATTTCATCATGGGTCCCTTGTGTTTGAAACTTCTACAGAACCAAGCCAGAGTGATCCTAGAGGGTGCTGGCAATGGGTTCAGAGACTTCTCTGATTTATCCTTACAGGGTTTGATGATCTCCGTGCTTGTGCTGACCCAGGAATCCCAGACTATGGCTCTCGAACCCCCAGTGGAAGCGTTTTCTTTGAAGATTCCGTAGCCCGATTTCACTGCCAAGAAGGCTACAAGCTTAGGGGCCCACCAAGGAGACTGTGTATGAAACACTTGAATGGTTCCCTAGGCTGGATACCGACTGATACACCGGTGTGCCTACCAGAAGGTAAGCTATTTGGCATCCTGTGAAAGAACCAGACCTGAGATAGGTTTACCTGTCTCCTGTGGTGTTTACTGAAGATTTTCAAGGTTGTATGTGGGTCAAAACCTAGTACTCTGATGGATGTTTCAGTTGTTAAGAACCTTGTGCACATTGACCAATAGGAGCATATAATGAGATCTAGGAGAGAGGAAGACAATTTCAGCAACTGAAGGAATACCGTGTCTTCTTTATCCCAATTATAATTCTCTTCATCACCATTTTTGTCAACTCTGAGGTAGCATCCAGCTAACATTAGGGCTCTCTGTTACTAGGTTGCCAAATCTGTGGGCATTTCCATTTTACTCAGAGAGAAGCTTGGCATTGTTTGAATACAGTATAGGATGATCTCAAAGATAGATGTGTTTCTCAGAGGATTAAATCAATTACTACTTATTAGTTCCATGCCAGGGCTAATTCATTTAAAAGAAGAAAGAAATGTGGAAAGCAGTGACAGATGAGCAAGATAGAGATTTATTTCTCGCCATTATCCCTAAACCTATTGGAAGAAATAACTTGAATTTTGCTATATGAGTATGTATTTGGGGTTTCAGAAATGTGTTTAGTTTAACTAATTGGGATGATAAACAGTTCTTCATCTATCTCAATGGACTAACTGAAGCAGTCCTATGCAGATAAATCAAAAACATTAATCTGGGCCTCACATTTCAAGGTGGCATAAAGCTTGTATTCTAACGAGTTCATTAGACATCAGAATTTTGGCTTCTGACAAGTATTGATTTTATTTCTTTGGACAAAGCCTTTATCATCACAAGTCATAAAAATGTCCACTGAATTTAGTGTGTGTTTCCCCCCTGAAACCCTTTAAACGACATTTGGCCTGAGAAGAAGAAAGAGTTGACAGCTTTTTGGGGCAGTCTTGTTTCTAAGTTGAAGACAAGCACACACACTACCAGTTTAGAAAAGCAACATAATAGAGGATTTGGATTTTTTAAAACTAAGTAAAGAAATAAGCATTTATTTAGCACCTACTATATGCCAGGCACTATGCTTAATGCTTTGCAAATATTATCTCATTTGATCCTCACAACAACCATGGGAGGTAGGTACTTTTATTATCCCCACTTTACAGTTGAGGAAATTGAGGCAGATAGAGGTTAAGTGACTAGCCCAGGGTCACACAGCTAGTAAGTGTCTGAGGCCAGATTTGAAGTTAGGTCTTTCTGACTCAAGGCTTGGCATTTTATCTGATGAGCCACCCAGCTTCCCCTAGCTTTTCTCTGTGAAGTGAAAACCCCAAGCAGAGAGTCCTTGATTGGACTGGCTGTCCATAGCTTCCAGGTACACGGTGAGTAAGTCTTTTGCAGAGACTGATCAGGTCTTCCTTCTCAAATCAGCAATACAAATAAGCATGTGTGTGTGTGTGTGTGTGTGTGTGTGTGTGTGTACATGTATATATGTATACGTGTATATATGTGTCTGTATGTGTATATATGTATATGTGTATATGTGTGTGTGTATATATATATTTATATTTATATATTTATGTATATAAAGTTTCCTTACAACTACTCAGAAACCAGGAAGCGCAGGTTTGAAGTAAAATCTAAAATTGAATCTTTAATGAAAGGGAAGATCCAATAACCTATTTTGTTAAGTTATTTCTAATCATAAAACCCTGCCTACTTGTCCCAGTTAGAGACTTGGAAGGGTAAGGGTGAAGTATATGGATGTCTGAATTGTTTTTTCTCCTATAAAGTTCTGCCAATGTTACTGTGATCCATGAACCCTGCTTCCCAAGCACACTTATACTGTTCATGTTAATAACCAGGACTCATCTTGTGTCAGAATCACTGTAAGCCAGCTGGGCAGGGAGGGTGGCACCTTCCTTTAAACCTGGCTACTAGGGAAGGCAGGCTGTTGAATCATTAGAGTTCTGGTGTTCTGAGCTGTACTAAGCCTATAGCCAATCAAGGGTCCCTGCTAAGTCTGGCACTAATATGTTAAGGCTCTGAGTTGGAGGAGAGAGAGATGGTAAAAGATCTCCAGGCTGTGTAAGGAAGAGGAAGCAGCCTAGGTAAGAAACAGAGCAGATCAGTGCTTCCGGGACTATCTACAATGAGGTTAGGATACACTTCCAAACTGGGCAAGAAATCATTGCTCTTCTCTGGTTTGGGGATGCTCTGGGTATTTAGACTAGAGTCTAGACCATGGTGGCTGCCTCTACGAAGATGTTGTCTATGAGTTCAAGGTAGCCAGGTGAGGTTCCTCAGCTCTTTTGGCTTCCTGGCCAGGAGAAGAGGAGTGGGCAGGGCTGTGGATAATACCAGCGCCTAGCAGATGCCCTCAGTGGCCACTGATTTCCATACTGTGAGAGTATTGTCAACTTTGGGACTCAGCAACAGCTCCTGCTCTAGGACATCGAAGGCCACAGTCAACCACGTTCTCATTTGAGAACTTGACCAGGAAGATGCTGTAGTGTCATTCTCAAACATAGCCAAGTCTATATGCTGTGTCACTGTGTCACATGGACAAAAATGACCAAAAAAAACCCCCCAAAACCATGAATCACTGGGATTGTAGTTATTTTGGCCCTTCAAGACATTTTCACTTCTTTCAGTGTCTTAAGGTCAGTCACATGCAAGTCAGCAATAGGTGATAGCTTCATCAGGGTCTGAAACCACTGAACCACTGGGCCACAAGTGTCTGCTGACATACAGGCATCCATGGTCAGCTTGGTTTCATTGATCAGCTGCCAAAGTGATTTTCCTAATGTGCAAGTCTAACCATGTCACACCCTTACTCAGTAAGCTCCAATGGCTCCCTATTAAAGCTTTTTGTTTCCTACTTATTCTAGTCTTCTTACTCTACTCCATATCTTCCAGCTCTGTCCTTTGCATTGGCTGTCATTGCACAGGCCTGGCATGCCCTACCCTTTCTCAGCTTCCTGGGATCCTTGGCCTCTTTCAAAACTCAATTCAAACCTACCTTCCCCAGATCTTTCCTGTCCCCTACCCCCATTGCTAATGCTTTCCTTCTAAGATTACCGTACACTTACACTGTATATGTCCTGTTTATAAATGTGAACTCCTCAAGAGAAGGGACTGTATGTTGGCCTTTTTTTGTGTGTTCTCAGCACTTAGCTCGGTGCCTGGCCCATTAAATGTTAGTTGACTGAGCCAGCATCCGCATACAGTTTTATCACCCTTGTTAGAAGAGAGCCAAGGTGTCCAAGCCAATGAAAGCAATCTCTTCCCATCAGAAGCTGTGGGGCCCAGGAAGCCTTCTGACATTAGACACAGGGTGCTGTTCTGATTGAACTGGGAAAACTAGGCATAGCTATGTTGTTGGAACTGTGTGATAGTCAGATGGCCAGGTCATGATTAGAGATTTTTGCAGGCAGCTAGGTGGTGCAGTGGATAGAGTGTGGGACTTGGCATTAGGAATTCTGTCTTAGACACTTACTAGCTGTGTACAAGTGGACATAGTCTGGACAAGTCATATACAGTTATCCCTTCCATATTGTTGGAGTTAGGAGTGCAGGGTCCCTGCAATCTGGAAAATCTGTGTAAAAATTTTTGGTCCTCCTTTCATGCCAGAGAAGAAGTCTGAATTCTTTCTTTTTCTTTTATGGTATATTTACAGTACCTTATGTAAAATTTGGTTTAAGCATTTCTGAGTTTCCAGACTTTTTCTGTGTCATTTGCTGGCCTTTGTGTATTGTCTGTGGCTTCTGCAAAACTCTTCCCAAATTCCCATTAACAGTGATTTCTTATGCCAATCCATGACATATCGAAACCACGGTGGGGAAAGTCACAATGTGGAAGGGATAGCTTTATGGTCTCTCAGCCTGTTTCCTCATCTGCAAAATGGGGATAATAATAATGATAATACCTTCCTCACTAAGTTGTTGTGAGGTTCAAATAAGCTAATATATGTAAGATGCTTTGCAAATCCTAAAGCACTACATAAATGCTAACTATTATTATTACATTTATTGTTAATTATTATTATTACAGTACAGTGCTTGGTGTACAAGAAAACAGGTGTCCTGGGTGTGAGAAGCTGAGGCAGAGGACCTTAATAATGTCTTCTCTCAAAGTCTTTGCTGCATGTAAAGGAAAGTGACATACAGCTTCTGAAACTACTTATACCAGGAGGCAGCAGATGGCATGGGACATCTTGAGTCACCTGGTTGTAGGAACAGAACTTTCCCTTTCAGAGAAACTCATCTTGAGATCCTACATGGTCCTGCAGCGTGCCAGCCCTGCTAACTAGCACGCCCTTATGAGTCATGCTGAGGAAGATATGAAAGACAATAGTTTGGGGAAGGAAAGGGTCACCCCTATTGTTCATGACATCATTTTCCCCCCAAGGGCTCAGAAATCATGTATACCACTCCCTTTGCTTCTCACCGCAGGGAAGCTGGAGCCGGGACAAAGGACTGTCCAGGCTAATGGAGGGGAGCAAGAAGCTGCGCTTTACCCCAGGCTGTTTTGCCCCCAGGCCCCTGCTTCCTGTCCCTTGCCAGGCCTTTGCAATTCAACAACATTTTTATTAAAAGTGCCTTATATATACCAAGTCCCTGTTAGATGCTCTTGAGAGAAAGATATCAAATAACATATATTTCTACTGGTATGTAATCAGAATGTTGATTTTACTTCTTAGATGCCTTGGAATAGGATGGCTTTTTCTGACACTGATTTTTGCAAAGCTGTCTCTATTCTCTGATCTTGTTGATATCAGCTAATCAGTTATATTGTGGTGAATGATCAAATACGGAGAATCATAATTAATAGCTTCGATGGACCATTAATCTTGTCAACATGGATACTCTTTCCACTAGTTCAGTTCTCCGTATAGTTAAAGAATTTTAAATCTGGAAAAGACATTGAGATCATCTCATTGGAAAGTCTTCCCACTCCCAAGAAGTTAACTAACTTATCTAAGGCCATAGTTAATAGAAGAACGTGAACCAAGAACCTCAGACTTCCATACTTCGAGGC